TTTTCATTCTTTTTTCTTTATTCTGTTCCACAGCTGTGAATTCCACCATATTGTCTTCCAGGTCACTTATCCATTCTTCTGCCTCAGTTATTCTGCTATTGATTCCTTCTAGTGTACGTTTCATTTCAGTTATTATATTGTTCATCTCTGTCTCTTTGTTCTTTAATTCTCCTAGGTCTTTGTTAAACATTTCTTCCATCTTCTCGATCTTTGCCCCCATTCTTTTTCCGAGGTCCTGGATCATCTTCACTATCATCGTTCCAAATTCTTTTTCTGGAAGGTTGCCTATCTCCACTTCATTTAATTGTTTTTCTGGGGTTTTATCTTGTTCCTTCATCTGGTACATAGTCTTCTGCCTTTTCATTTTGTCTGTCTTTCTGTGAATGTGGTTTTCATTCCACAGGCTGCAGAATTGTAGTTCTTCTTGCTTCTGCTGTCTGCCCTCTGGTGCATGAGGCTATGCAAGCTTCCTGATGGGAGGGTCTGGTGGTGTGTACAGCTGGGTGTTGCTCTGGTGGGCAGAGCTCAGTAAATATTTAGTCTGCTTGTCTGCTGATGAGTGGGGCTGGGTTCCCTCTCTGTTTGGCTTAAGGTGACCCAGCACTGGCGCCTACCTGGCTCTTTGGTGGGGCTAATGGCAGACTCTGGGAGGGCTCACACCAAGGAGTACTTCCCAGAACTTCTGCTGCCAGTGTCCTTGTCCCTGCAGTGAGCCATAGCCACCCCCCCCACAACAGGAGACCTTCCAACACCAGCAGGTAGGTCTGGTTCAGTCTCCCCTGTGGTCACTGCTCCTCTTCCCCTGGGTCCCGATGCACACACTATTTTGCGTGTACCCTCCAAGAGTGGAGTCTCTGTTTCCCCCAGTCCTGTCGAAGTCCTGCAATCAAATCCCCTAGACTTCAAAGTCTGATTCTCTAGGAATTCCTCCTCCTGTTGCTGGACCCCCAGGTTGGGAAGCCTGACATGGGGCTCAGAACCTTCATTCCAGTGGGTGGACTTCTGTGGTATAAGAGTTCCCCAGTTTGTGAGTCACCCACCCAGCAGTTATGGGATTCAATTTTATTGTGATTGCGCTCCTCCTACCGTCTCATTGTGGCTTCACCTGTGTCTGTATGTGGGGTATCTTTTTTGGTGAGTTACAGTGTCTTCCTATCAATGACTGTTCAGCAGTTAGTTGTGATTCCAGTTCTCTCACAAGAGGGAGTGAGGGCACGTCCTTCTACTCTGCCCAAGATAACTATTGATAATTTTTTCTAGTTCTTAAAAAAATTTTTTTATTGAAGTATAGTTGATTTACAATGTTGAGTGAATTTCTGCTGTACAGCAAAGTGATTCAGTTATACATTTATATATTTTTCATATTTGTTTCCATTATGGTTTATCACAGGATACAGAATATAATTTCCTGTGCTATACAGTAGGACCTTGTGGTTTATCCATCCTAGATATACTAGATTGCATCTGCTAATCCCAAACTCCCAATCCTTCCCTCCCCTACCTCCCCTCCCTCTTGGCAACCACACATCTGTTCTCTATATCTGTGAGTCTGTTTCTGTTTTGTAGATATGTTCATTTGTGTCATATTTATTTGTTTTAAACTTATTTATTTACTTTTTTGGCTGCATTGGGTCTTCGTTGCTGCGCACAGGCTTCTTTAGTTGTGGTGAGTGGGGGCTACTCTTCATTGCAGTGTGCAGGCTTCTCATTGCGGTGGCTTCTCTTGTTGCAGAGCACGGGCTCTAGGCACACGGGCTTCAGCAGTTGTGACTTGTGGGCTCTAGAGCGCAGGCTCAGTAGTTGTGGTGCACGGGCTTAGTTGCTCCATGGCATGTGGGATCTTCCCAGACCAGGGCTTGAACCCGTGTCCCCTGCCTTGGCAGGCGGATTCTTAACCACTGTGCCACCAGGGAAGCCCATTTGTGTCATATCTTAGATTCCACATATAAGTGATACCATATGGTATTTGTCTTTCTGACTTACTTCACTTAGTATGATAATCTCTAGGTCCATCCATGTTGCTGCAAATGGCATTAGTTCATTTTTTTTTTTTTTTTTGCTGTACGCGGTCCTCTCACTATTGTGCCCTCTCCCATTGCGGAGCACAGGCTCCGGACGCGCAGGCTCAGTGGCCATGGCTCATGGGCCTAACCACTCCACTGCATGTGGGATCTTCCCGGACCGGGGCACGAACCCGCGTCCCCTGCATCGGCAGGCGGACTCTCAACCACTGCGCCACCAGGGAAACCCTAGTTCATTCTTTTTTATGGCTGAGTAATATTCCATTGTATATAAACACCACATCTTCTTTATCCGTTGCTCTGTCAAGGGACATTTAGGTTCTTTCCATGTCTTGGCCCAGTAGTTTCTATATGTGTGTATAGTTAAGCTGTATCTGCATTTCAAAGTGTTTATTGTGTTAAACATTGATACGGTATAGGCCACTCAGTTGAGAGGAAATTTGACAGGTTAGGGTGCACAGGGACTGGCATCCAACAAGTGGACTGGCCCAAGTTACTACTTACTAGGGGCGTGATAACTAATTACCTAATCTGGAGACCTCCGTTTCCTCATCTGTAAAATGAGGGTAATAGTAATTACCTCCTGGAGTTGCAGAGAGGATTAAATGTACAGCAGTTAGCCCAGTGCTAGAAAATGGTAAATTTGATATATGGCACTACTACAACTGTCACTAGAAATATAAGCCTGTTTTAGATCATGTGCTTTGCAAAGCAGAACTAGTTGTCTTTTTAATAAAGGAGCATACAAGTGACATATTTTTCCTATAAACTATTATATACATAATAGTTAAAATCTTGGGAAATTAGATCTCTCTCCTCACTTTTAAATATTACAATATATTATTCTTTTTCTTCTCTTTGAATAAGTTAGGTAACCTAAAATTTACTTCCCCTTCCATGTTAATCTTTTTAACAAGTGGATATTGCTTTTTAATATTCTAAGAATTGGAGTTAAGTACCTGGTTATATCTGTGATATGTCTGTCTTATTTTACACAAGCTGTCTTCCCATAAGTAAAACTCAGAAAGATGTGCTCCAATTTGAGAATTAGCTGATGCATGCAGAAGAAATTCACTCATCAATGTATGGGCATGTTCTGATGAGAGAATAACTGGCTGATTTCAGAAAGGAAAAAGATGACCTAGTCCATTTTAACTGCTGATGGAAAACATCCTTACATTATGTTGTCAGAGACCTGAGGGTAGAAAGTGTGTACTCCTTTTTGGAATTATAACTAAAATGATGTGACTCTGGAGGACCCACAGTATGAGGACATGCTACCAAAAAGATCACTTTGTCTTCTGGGAAGGATACTAAATAGCAGGGCATGGGGCTAGACCACAGATGTTTGGCTTAACAGTTCACAGTTGAGGATGGTAGGTAGTCTCAGAAAATTATAAAGTGCCTCTGCTGAGCCCGTTACCACTAAGATTCCACCTACGTGTGCACTACTTATTCACCTTCCTACATACTTGAGCCTTAGTGACCTGTCAGCAGAGGGTGTCTGTGACAGTTACATGAGAATGGCCTTATTTGCTTAGGATTGTGTGTGGGTGTTGAACACGGCACTTTTAGCATAAATTTATGAGGTGCAAGCTTTTAATGCAAAGATGACTCATAAGGTTTCAGAATGTGTAAATATGAAGCACAATCTAACTTATACCGTCACTGGTACTCACCCACAGCAAAACTAGCCTGGGTTGATTACCAAATTGTTTGGACTACCAGGAAATTCACAAAGTTTGTCACTCTTAATAGGCTGATGACAAAAATTCTTGGGTTGATTGTAACACTTGTTTGGCGCTACCATCTTAAACCAGTGTTACACGTACTTAATCTGCATTTTGCAATATTATGTTTGATGGCAGCATTCAATTAACTCTATTTCCGAGATTGTGAAGAAGTCAATTCTTTTGAGAAGTTACACTGGAAAACTTAAACAGACAGCAATTGTATAATACAGTAAAAAAAATTAGAGGCAACAGAAAAAGGATCATAACTAAACATTTGATATTGATGTTGAAATAAAACTAAGATCAGCATTTTTTGTGATTCGTTTCTGATGAATCACAGAACTCGCATTTCTCTTGCGAGTTTTATGCAATTGCTACAAAAATGTCATAAAAATTTCCTTTAACTGAAGATGAACTGGTAGAGAATAGACCTTTAACCTTATTGGGAGCAATACTTGGAAGTAGATTATTTAGCTGTCAGAACAATAAAACCTTGGAAACTGTGACCAAACAGATACAACCAGGAGACCCTGAATTCAATAGGATATTGTTTTAATACTTCAAAATGTTGTGGCCCTTAGAAGACAGGCAGAATATGAAAGAATAAAAATATAAAGGATCTTAACCAATTTTGTAAATGGAATCAACCATTATTCATAGTTCCCTTAAAATTGCTATTGATACCATGTATAAAATAGATAACTAATGAGAACCTACTGTATAGCACAGGGAACTCTACTCAGTGCTCTGTGGTGACCTAAATGGGAAGGAAATCCAAAAAAGAGGGGATAGATGTATACATATAGCTGATTCACTTTGCTGTGCAGCAGAAACTAACACAACGTTGTAAAGCAACTATAATAAAAATTTAAAAATAAATAAACTTATGGCTAGAAAAAGATTTATGTTGAACTTAAAAAGTTAAGCACAGTAAGTTTTTGGATTCTAACTTTATCAGTCGATTGTGAACTTACAAAATAAATTTCTGATTAGCTCTGCATAAAAAATTTAAAACACCATAGAGGTGTTTTTTTCCTTTTAAAAAAAATTTCATATGTCAGTAGAAACAAAGGCCAGAGAAGAGGTTTTAAAGCTTTAACTACTGCCTACTCAGAAAGTAAGAAAAACACTGGCATTTAGCTTTTGATCACTCCTATGTAAAATAAGAATCATAGAGTCACTAAAGAAACAGTCAACAGGAAGGATTTTTGAGATTAAACATATTTACAATAAAAACAAATTTCTGGACATTGGATCATTCTTTTATTAACTTTGGAGGCCCACTTGAGAATCTCATTTATGAGAACACCCACAGATAACAAATAAATAAGCCTGTATTCCCTGAAACGCCACCCATGCACACAGCTGGACCATAAGTTGGTTTTTAGTTAAATAGCAGCTACCATATTTGGTCTTATGCTTCAAGCTGTTACAAACACAACGCGTTTGCTCAATTCTAACTTCAGCTTTTTACTAACTGAATTCATTTCCTATAAGAGACAGACCTCCTAGTTTCATTAGGTTAATGTCTTGTTGATTTTCTTTTGAAGACTCAGTGCAGTATTAAGTGAAGTCACCAGCAAAATGGGTACTGTGTCAGTAATACTTAAAACATTTGAGTAGCCAAGTGAGCAGACCATATGTTAGGAAATTCCTTGCATGCTTATTTAGGTTTCAAGTCTTTCAATACCATCAACTATAATTGTAAAGGCACACTAGGTGCTCATAATCACCAAATCTTAAAGCTTTTACCCAAGTGGTTTTACTAATTAAGGACAGGAAAAAGCACTTTTTTCCCCCTGCCTTCTGATAGGTTCAACGGGACTGTCAAAAGAATGATTATTCATGGCAAGCATTATTTTCAAGCATTCAGCTTAATAATTTTTTAAAAAGTGACCTCAAGTTGAAATGTACTACCATTATGACTTTATAAGCACACCCCATCTCTTTCTGTTAACTATTCCAGTCCTGGCTGATCTCGAGTCTCACTCACTAAATGTGCTTTCTTTCACCTGTAAAGTATCTACTACCATAATACCTACTGAACACAGAATGCAGTTAAATGTCAGTTCCTTATTCATCCCTCTGTAACACACTGAAATTTGGATTTTATCTGAGTGGTAATAGTTCCCATTCAACTAGGTATTGGGTTCCCAAAGGGCAAAGACCATGTCTTATATTTCTTCTGTGGCCTCCACCCTCACCTGAGTGTGTGGCTCAGCACTGAAGCTCTTTATTTATCTACCAAACTCATCAATTACAATTTTGTTGCAAAGCTTCTGCTAATTCTCTACCACAGGTTAGCTGAATTTCATATAATTAGCACTTAATACTGAGACCAAATCACATTAAGACTTTGCAAATATTAGCATATCATGAATGTTAAATCCTAATGTTCCCCCTTTTATTTATTAATTTAGTTGGTTAGACATGGTGGGTAGTTTTCAAAATGTAACATTCTCTTAGGTGAGAACAAAATAAACCAAATTCTCTCTCTGACAGACCAGAGTACCTGTCTGCCAAATAACTTTATAAAAATGAAGGTAGCTGACAATAATATTTAGTCTTAAGGTATAATAAGCCCCTGGCCCCTAACACTCAAGCCCAGACCAAATGAGAGAGGGGAGACAGGTAGGCTAATACTACTGTGAGGAGTGCTATGCAGAAAGCTCTATAAACAGAGGTACGTGGGGCACACAAAGTCTTTATTGCCACAGGAAGCAACTGCACTCATCCCACGTCACCAACAGCTTTAATAGTCACAGAAACGCAGACTTCACGTAATAAAGTACAAAACAGACTTGGGGAGAAATGGTCCCTTGGACTATATTGGTTGTAATACTGAGGTAACCAATTGACCTTGTTCAGTGAAAATACCTCTAACACAATGAAAAAAATCAACTAGTTATAACATCCAATTCATATATACAATTCAAATAAAAATATATATTATTTGCTTCAATGTATAGCAAGTTTAATACATTAGTGTTTACAAAATAAAAACTGTATTCTACTGAAATTTTTCTTGTGCTTCCCCCTTATCACTAAGCATGAAAGACCAGAAAAGTATGATACTTAAGGAAACTTATTTATGGATTTAAAGATGCAGTTTGTGCGGTCATGAAAGACAGACAAATATTAGTTGTAAGATTACCACATCTTTAAAAATTTTTGCTTATTAAAATCTACAAACTTGAACCATAAGACACAATTAAAAAAAACCCACAGAATTTCTCAAAATAGATTAGAATACAGGAAACGTTTCATGAAACTACTGAGATACTAACCAGTTCTATGGCTAATATTAAAAACTGAACAATCTATGTAAATCGTATTCATACTATTTCTATGCACAGTGAACAATACAATCACAATAATCAACCTCAAGCTAGCAACAAAGTTGCAAAGTCCATAAAAAGCTTCTTCAGTGGGCAAAACACTATGGTACAATTAAAACATTTAGGAAGGAAAAAAAGCCTTTTAATAGTATAAAAGTTGTTTACTGGTGTTTCTACTGTAAAGCTATTCTACAAATCAAAACGAAAAAGGAATTATATATGTGACAGTGATCAGAGACTACAGTGCAGACGTTTCATCTAACATTTGGCTGATGAATTTTAGTATAATAGATTATAACTTAATATTTTTTACATAGTTATGACCTAGAGCAGAACCGAAAACAACACAAAAAACACATATTCCAAGTCAATACACTCTTCTCAGCAATATCTGGGTTTAGATGAATCTGAAGGAAGTAGGTAAAGCTGGCAAACATCTTCTCTTAAACCAACAGAAAAAATGTAAATTGGTAGAAGCAGTATTTGTTTTTCCCTATGGATTCCAATGTGAAATTCTAGTAAGTATGCAAGTATGTTATTAACATTTAAGCACACCCTCATATATAGGCATACAACCCATTAATTAAATAGGGGGAATTAAAACAGATTTTCAAGTTAAAATGAGTTTTAAGAAAAAACTGCATTCATAAATCTGAAAAGTATATGAAAATGAAATTGTAAAATAAATAATATGTGTCAACTAAACCTCCATAGAAATATGCCTGCAAATGTGGATGCACTGATTGTCTAAACTTGTGATGGTCTGCATGGGAAGACATTCCCCAGGGAGAGCCATCTAGCTTCTCTGACTCTGGTGCGTAGAGAAGAATTTCTGGATATAAAACAGTACTTACTCTACTATATATTATAGCCTTTGTTAACAGTCACCATCCTTATCACATTTAGGGTTAACTTACTATGTCTTAATCTATATAACACATTCTGAAATAATAATTTTAAGTCAAGGCTTTTACACATCTGTCCACTTGTTTCTAGTTCTCTGTCCAACTAATAGCTTCCTATTTTTGTTATACCTTAAGTAGCTATCATAAAATGCAACCTGGGTCAACTAGGTAAGAGAGGTTTTTCTACTCTATTGCTCATTTTTTTGACCTTACTCCAGTATTTATTAACTATGTGCCTAATTAAGCCAGTAAAAATGACATGTGACTACTATGAAATGACACATTTCCTATTAAACAAAATCAGTTTTATCAGGTATTAAATCTACAACATTTTCCTGACTTAAATTGAGTATTTGCTTTCCATTTTTCCAAAGTCATTACAACTTTGCCAATAACTACATCACTTAAACTTTCTTTTTTATGACTGCAAAGATTCTAAACTCTGACATACAATATTTACGCAAAACACACTTAAAGTAGACAATGAAATTTCAAGTAAGATAAACTGTATCCACACCTATTGGCCCAAACAGGTCTCAACATCTAGATTTTACTTCTATAAATTATACAAATACATTGTACATTCTTAAATAATTAATGCTTACAATATTAATTTGTAAGCCTTTCCACATAAAATGACTTACAGAGGAATGTGGATCAGTATTTCTGTTACAGATTGTAACATTCTCTTAATTTTCTTTTGTGGCTGTAGTTTTGTCTTCCTGGTTTCCACTGATTACTGTATCAGTCCTTAAGCTTTGGCTATGAAATCTGTTTGTGCTGAATGAGGCAACATTGGTTATTAAGGCTTATTTCTATGATGGAGCATTATCCTTAAATCTGATGCCATTTCCAGAGAACAGTGGGAGAATCATAGCTATCTTGAATCTTCAGGCTCTGTTTTGATGACTTTCTTTTCTAAAGTAAAAGCTGAGTGAGGGTAGTCTTTTAAAATCCCCAGGCTCTCTGTATAAAAAGAGAAACACAAAATGTATTGATATTTTAAATCAATGGTCACAAAAAAACAAACTTAAAAACAAACCCCCAAACTCCAAAGCAAGCAGTATCAATTATTCATGACTGCAATTCCATATAAAATTTTTATGTTTACAGAGTTGAGGTTAAGAGTTTGGATTCTGGATTTATATACCATTTCTGCCAATTACTAGCTGTATACATCTCTGGGCAAGTTACACACCTCTCTAAGCCTTAATGTCTTCACCTATAAAATGGGGATAGTATCTACACAGGGTGATATGAGACTTAAATCATAAAATGTATATAAAGCACACAGCATATAGAACCTACTGATTTTTATTTAATGCTTGGTCCAAAGTGATACATAACATATATAAAATAAAACTGGTCACTCGTATACAACAAAGTTATTGTCTAAAATATTTACTATCAATGAAGACATGAGGCAGAAAAACAACTTCTATGTTTAAACATGGAACTATTTTTAAAAGTTTCTCTACCCATGAAACCTTAAGGTGGGAGAAATAGGGATAAAAGAATGAAGATTCTATTTTCACAGGACTCATTCCTTGGAATTACATGAATAATTATTTCAACCTCAAACAAATACTACAGAATGACAATAAAATGTAATATTTACATGAAGTACTAATACTGGGGGATACACACACACACACACACACACACACACACACACACTTTAAAAAGGATTCTAGAAAAGTAACCAACATTAATAGCTTATCTGAAATTAGGCAGTTCACTTCATGACTTTCCCTCTCTATACAGAAATTCAGCATAAGAAGAGGAATAAAAATAGCAGCTACCATTTACTGAGTTCCTATCAGCCAGGCAATGCCTATAGGCTATCTTGTTTAATCCTCATAACTATTCTATGAGGCAGAAATTATTTCTATTTTACAGATGAAACAAGTGACTTCAAGTAACTCCTAAAGTTACTTTAGCTCAAAGATTGGATGATACCAGATTCTTTCAAATGGTGTTGGTGTCTAAAACTTTAAGTCTGTATAACTCACTTTACTTGGATAAAAACATGAAAACACCAAACTATAATAAGGAACAGCTTGTCCTTTTATGGAGCTCAGTTTACTTCTGAAATACAAATATCATCCCCCAAATGCAGCTGCATGAAAAGTTTAGATTTGGGTACACAAGGTTTTCTTAGCAGGACAGCAAACATATAGTCCATCAATTTCATATTATGAAAGGCTGGAAAAGGGAATTACATAACTGAAACCAGCCATTTATTATCTGGTTCAGAATTGTGTATAAAGTCACCATTCATGTAATAGCTAATCAAAATAATCTCAATCTTCAAGAGCTTTTCCCTGTCAGTCCTTTGGAATATCATGTTCTCAAAAAGACTGGCTATTAATATGGCAATCTGTTACTTCCAAGGGGAGAAAACGGACTAGTAACATCATTAGTAATGACCCTTTTTTAAGGAGGGGGACAGTGGAAGTTAGGAGATTAGAATGGAAAGACATTTTTTTATTCAAATATTACTCCCTCTACGCACATCCCACATTCTCACCTGATGAGTGGGACTTGGCCTCACTGGAGTAATGTCTACTCAGCTCCCCATCCACCACAAAATGATGGAGTTGTCTGTTCTGTAAATTAGGCATTCGGAGGTTCAAAGGTCTTTCGCCTAATGAAAAGAAAAAAAAAGCAATATGAGTAATTAAAGACGCATCATGGTTTTTCTTAAAAATAAGTTTTCACAGATCGCCTGAACACTCCTTAGGAAATAAGTAAGGAAAGTCGACAGGCACTGGAAGAATTTAAATAGCTGGAGAAATATCTAAAATAATAGTTTAGGAGGAAAATGGCAACTCATGCTAGTCTCAAGATCTACCATTCTGCCAGGACATTTTGAAGAGCTAATCACAAACTAAAGAAAAGACTGAGATTTCCAGTATGCACTCCAGCTCTGGCAGATAATGCATCACCTCTGTGGGGCGTTTTCTTACTAGTGCAACCATTTTACCAAGGCAGGTCACTAACCACATAACAACAAATACTACAGAGACAGAGATGGCTTCAAGCCAACTGCCCATTACTAGAACAACAACAACAACAAAACCTATGGCAAATCCACGAAAAAATATAATTAGAACAGATATGGTATAAAAGGTTTCATATGCCAAATCATACTCTATCATAAACCTAAATCCATCATACTTAGCAAATTGTTGCCCTTCACTGGATTATCCTGGGGTCACAAATTAGAGTCATCAAATCATTTATTAATCCTTTGCATCTTAACTCCAGTCTTTTTTTAAAAAAAATTAACTAATTAATTATTTTTGGCTGTGTTGGGTCTTCGTTGTTGCGCGCAGGCTTTCTCTAGTTGTGGCGAGTAGGGGCTACTCTTCATTACAGTGCACGGGCTTCTCGTGGTGGCTTCTCTTGTTGCAGAGCACGGGCTCCAGGCGCAAGGGCCTCAGTAGTTGTGGCTCGCAGGCTCTAGAGCCCAGGCTCAGCAGTTGTGGTGCACGGGCTTAGTTGCTCCACGGCATGTGGGATCTTCCCGGACCAGAGCTCGAACCCGTGTCCCCTGCACTGGCAGGCGGATTCTTAACCACTGCACCACCAGGGAAGTCCCTTAACTCCAGTCTTAACTGTCAAGGATGACTGGAGAAGTTAAACAAGACTTCCACTAAAAAGTTTCTGTAATATTTTAAAAAGGAAGAACGTTCTTTGCCAGTACTCTGATCTGCTGATGTGTAATGTTTAACTCTATAGTTGAAGAATGCTAGTTAAGATGGTATTCTTACTTAGAAAGAAATCTTATTTTTTTGACGACAGTAACCACTCTCTGAAAAAAGTATAATAATACATAAAAAAAAAAGTCCTACAAAATTGTTTTTCTTCAACCACTATCACTATTTGAAACTAGAGGATCTAGTCCTGTACCTATATGCTATACATCTCCCTCCACTCAAGTGCAAGCTCCAAGGGAGCAGGGAGCTTTATTATTCACTGCTGCATTTTCAGTGCCTAGAAGTGTGCCTGGCACATAGGAGATACTAAAAAAAAATTTGTTGAATGAGTGAATGACAATGACTTGGGATTTTCTTCACATGTGGATACAAAAAAATGAAATCATTTTTAAAATGGTAAAAATGCTCATGAATCAAAACTTTCTACACCTGTGTTTAAGAGAACAATTTCCAAAGTATACACCACACAAAATATTTTCATAGGGACTACAGGCCAATGTGAAGACTGAAAGAAGACAAAATTTCTACAAGTCTCTCCATTCTTATACTGTCTCTTCAAATCTCTGTACTCTGTCATAGTACTTTAGAAGCAGTCACCACATTCCCTTAGGAACCAAATGTTATAAATTTCAGACAAATCTGTTTATGAAATCTAAAAAAACCAAAGTTTTAATCTTTTAAAAAATGATAAACATCTCCCGTGGAATCCATTTCTTCAGGAAAAATGATCTGTACTGTTTACATCTCCCATTCCCATCCACCCTCTACAAAATACATGTCAATCACATGTGCCAGCTATTATTTAGGGATAATAAGGTTAAAAAAAAACTCTATAAGTTATATTTGCAGGAAGAATTCTTTCCTTTTTAGAAAAAGGGACAATTTAAAAATTAATTTTGATAGAGAACCTATAAAATAATCTCCATAAAATATCAAGTTTAAAAAAAATCAGCAATTTTTTGTTTCCCTTTGAAGTGCACAGAGTAGCTGGCTCTAAAGGTGTGGGTCACTCTAAAGATGTACCTTGTCCATCAGCGTTATCAGAAGTCAAGCCATTAGGGCTGTGCTCTTCTGAGCTTTGCCTGTAAAGTCCTGCACACAGTCTTCTTTCAGCATGCTGCAGTCTGTCATAGCCAGCTTGGGTGCAAAGGAACTCCATCTGCTTTGCCATCACCTTTTCAGGCTGCTAGTAAGTAAAGTGAAAATAAAGTAACTAAAACATTCTAGATTTTTTTAATGGTTTAAAGATGCCAATTTCAGACTGCAGCAAATATATTTAGTAGTCATTAAAATTAGTTCATACTTCATGTGGTATACACGTTCCATAAATATGCACTGATGTCTATATCATCATGTTAAAACACAGAATGTTAGATTTTGTACGAAAGGAGAAAAGCTTTCTGCTCAATTCTGTAAAGAGAATTCCATTCTAGCTCAAAAGCAAAATAACCTTAGCTTTGTTTTCTAAGATACCAAGTCCTTTTAAAGATTTTTTAAAAAAGGAACCTCAGAGCAACAGCAACATCTGTTATAAACTGCTTCTAAAACACAGGGCGAAGTCTTGGCATTTTTATTTTAGGATCTGGCACTACACAAACTCTGATATGATGACAGTATATTTGGGGGAGAAAAGGTGTAAAACGGCTGTCTAGAAGAACAAGACAAACACACCTCCCTCTAAAATTAAGCAATGCAAATTATGCAGAAAAACATCAGTGCCAACGCGGATCTTCACCTTCATCATGGAATGAAACTGCAGTATTTTCCAACCCATCATAAAAAGACATGTTTTAAAGTACACAATTAGTTGGCTGACATATAAATTTATCTCTGCATGTGTTCTCTAAGTCCCTTCTCTATGCACTGCTCTAAATTACCTATGTGTGATAATACCTATGACAGTCAAAGCAGTGATATTCTGCCAAGGAGGTAACAGTCAAAATACACAGATAGGAATCACTGCCATGCTATATAGAAGAGCAATACAAGGCATCTACTATATAAAATTATATATATGTTACAAACAATCCTGATTCACAGTAGTAAAAATCAACAGGTGAAATATATTAACTCATAGAATAAGATGAAAGCTTATACTATTATTCTGAATCAAATAAACGAATGGATAAAGAAGATGTGACACATACATACAATGGAACATTACTCAGCCATACAAAGAAACGAAATTGAGTTATTTGTAGTGAGGTGGATGGACCTAGAGTCTGTCATACAGAGTGAAGTAAGTCAGAAAGAGAAAAACAAATACCGTATGCCAACACATATATATGGAATCTAAAAAAAAAGGTTCTAAGGAACCTAGGGCCAAGACAGGAATAAAGACACAGACGTAGAGAATGGACTTGAGGATACGGGGAGGGGGAAGGGTAAGCTGGGACAAAGAGAGAGAGTGGCACAGACATATATACACTACCAAATGTAAAACTGATAGCTAGTGGGAAGCAGCCGCATAGCACAGGGAGTTCAGCTTGGTGCTTTGTGACCACCTAGACGGTTGGGATAGGGAGGGTTGGAGGAAGACGCAAGAGGGAGGAGATATGGGGATATATGTATATATATAGCTGATTCACTTTGTTATAAAGCAGAAACTAACACACCATTGTAAAGCAATTATACTCCAATAAAGATGTTATAAATAAATAAATAAATAAATAAATAAACGAGATCAAAAGGAACCATAACTTCAATTCATTTAAATTTGTAACTAATTAATTAATAAAATTTCAATAAGATTTCTGAGGGGGAAATGTATTTTTCATCCTCTTAACATGAAAACACAAAACTTGGCACTACTAAATCTGACCAAAAGCAGTCACTAGTGAGAAGATCTACAGGAATAAAACTTACAGTACTTTCTAAAAGGCAAAAATGACTTTTTAAAATGTTAATTTCTGTGTACACGATTAAATAACTTAGCAGCAAAAGCACCTGAAGCTACATATTAATTAACTTTTCATTATACATGAATTGAAATGATTCAACAATAGTTACAATGTTGACTATTAGTATATTATTGAGAACTAGAACTATTTTATCTCAGAGTTGTATTACACACATAATCAACATGGCTGTTTTCCTGGTATCAAGTTGCTTCTTTCTTAAGTAGAGAATCTGTATTAATTCCTACAAAACTTCAAAGAATAAATAAGTAGCAGATGTCGGGTTCTGCTCACAAAGCAAACTAAACCTAGCTGATACTGCTATCTCACTGATACAGCTGTGGATCAGGTGACATCGTAAAAACAACCAGAAATAAATTCAGTCTTTGGATGAAACTGAATTTAAAACTGAAGCTAGTCGAAGCAGCCATTTATTTTTTAACCTACGGATGCTGTTATGAAATAGTAACTGGTGGTTGACGTTACCTGTGAACTAAGAGCAGCGAGTTCCTCACTCTTAGCTTTAGCCTGCTGGAAGAGTGTCTGCACAGAGTCCTGGAAATCTGGAAACCCATCCTGTGGGTCAAAGAATATGTCCTTTTTACTTTAAAATAACCATATTATCAAAAACTCAGAAAATGAAGTAAAGAAATCCACCTTAATCCTATTACCTGAATAATCATGATTAAGATTTTAATGTACAATACTTGATTTCAGTCTCTCAAGGTACAATTACCTTATTTCTACAGTTGTAACCTCAATAAAAACATAAATGAAAAAGATTAAAAGTTTATACATCCACAGTGTTTTACACTGGAACACAGATTTTTATGATCATTGATAATAATGATTATATAACATTTCATCTGGTGGTCTGACAGTTTAATCACTATCTTCATATTGGACATTTAGATTATTTGCCTTATTTTTGGTTTTATGAAAAACACTGCAAAAATATTTTCATGGAGACAGGATTTCCCATAGTTTAGATGATCTAATACAATAGGTTCCCAGAAGTAGAATTAGTACAAAGGGATGAACATTTTTATGTCCTTTACATATGTTACTCAAGGGCCTTTATTGCTTTATTGTATCATAAGCAATATATGACAGTTTTCCTTGCCAGTACTGGGTGTTGTTTTCTTAATTGTTGCCAATTTATACTTTTGTTTTGATAATGAAAAAAGTTTTTAGGGCTTCCCTGGTGGCGCAGTGGTTGAGACTCCGCCTGCCGATGCAGGGGACACGGGTTCGTGCCCCTGTCTGGGAAGATCCCACATGCCGTGGAGCGTCTGGGCCCGTGAGCCATGGCCGCTGAGCTTGCGCGTCCGGAGCCTGTTGCTCCGCGACAGGAGAGGCCACAACAGTGAGAGGCCCGCGTACCGCAAAAAAAAAAAAAAAAAGTTTTAATTTTGTGTACTATAGTTGTATATACTTATATTTTACTTTGTGACTTCTTCTATTACTATACTATTCAAAAAGACATTCTCCTTTAGAGATTTGAGAAGTACTCAAATCTACCCTCTAGTTTTCTAAAGCTTTATTTTATTGCTTCTTTTGTTTTTAAAATTTAACTCTCTATCCCATCTGGAATTTATTTTGTTATATGTAATGTGGTAAAAATCCAAAGTAAATTCCCAACCTGAATTTCTGCAGAATTCTTCCATGCTGACTTGTGATTTCTCCTTTACCAGTTCAAAGGACAGGTGATAGGGCTTTGGAATTAGAAAGACCTGCACTTGTGTTCCGATTCCACCACCACTTACTAGCTACATGACACTGGATGAGTAACTTAACCTTTCTGAACTTTAGTTCCTTCATATGAATAATAAAGATAAGAGAACCTATCTATTAGGGTTGTTGTGAGATAAAGTAAATGAGATATTGCCTTTAGCATACAATAACTGCTGAGTATCAGTGTGTATTCTTATATATTCTTATTTATGTGTATTCTTATATTAAATAGTACATTCTTATATTAAACGTAAGTATATTCTTTTTTTTTTTTTTTTTTTTTTGCGGTACACAGGCCTCTCACTGCCGTGACCTGTCCCGCTGTGGAGCACAGGCTCCAGACGCACAGCCTCAGCGGCCATGGCTCACGGGCACAGCTGCTCCACGGCATGTGGGATCTTCCCGGACCGGGGCATGAACCCATGTCCCCTGCATTAGCAGGCGGACTCGCAACCACTGCGCCACCAGCGAAGCCCCTAAGTATACTCTTATATTAAGTAGAGTGTACTTGGGGCACTGTACTCCTGCACAACACTGCAACTTAAATTATTTCCATTTTATACCATACACACACACACACACACACACACATATGCAAATACGTTTACTAATTTTATCAAGGTTTTTTTTGGCCTGTTTAGTGCTCCACATGAAATTTATAACTACAAACATCATGACAGCATGGTTTTACTAACTTTACTGAAAACTACTCAAGGAACCCTCAAAGACATTGTCATTAACTTCCAAAACGTTTCTCTCCTTGTTTGATAAAGCTGTATATTTGTGGCAAAGGGTGAATAATGAAAAACTGAAGTTGTTATATAATAACAGAGCAGAAAAAGTTGTAATAATAACAAAATATGTACCTTATTTGAAATATGAAACACTGGTTCAAAGATTTTCCCCATTGGGGTCTTTTCAAAAAATTATTTCTCCACTGCAAATCTCATGTTTTCAAATACTTCATCTACCAAAGTTCATTTCCTAGGTAATAATTAATTTCCCATTTTTTAAAATCCAAAGACATGAAATAAAATAATTAGAATCAAGAATAAATTTAACATCTTGAAATAGTCTTATGTAGCTCCATGGTGGGTTATACAATCAGCCTTTTTAAATTATTAAAAATAGCCACCTTTCTAGGCCCCTACAAGACCAAGGACCCTGGGCTTAGAGGAATGTATAGAATATAATCATTAACTGAGCTAGAATGAATTTTATACAAGTATATATACTAGAAATCTAAATGAAAAGTTCACTTTTCTTAGTCATTCCATTTTTCTCCTAAGAATTTACTTAGGCCTAAAAATCCAGCTTTATCTTTAACAAACTCTCCTTTAATTTAAGTTCTGAAGTTCAGTGAGGTAAGCTAGTAGGAGATTTAGAAAACAACATCAGTAAGAGGAGCTATCATTTTTCAGGTGCCTACAATGAACCAGTTCCTGACTATGTTCTGTAATTTACTTATATTGTCTCATTTAATCCTCACACAAACAACCCTGGGTTTCCCTCATTTTACAGCTACAGAGATTAGCTTCAAAGCCTATGCTAAAATCACAAAATCCTTGAGTTGCCACCTTTATGAGACTCACAACAGTAAGTAGAGGCATTTCTTTTATTTCCTTTACTTTAGAAGACAGATCCAAAAAAAATATTGCTGTGATTTATGTCAAGGAGTGTTCTGCCTGTGTTTTCTTCTAGGAATTTTATAGTATCCGGTCTTACATTTAGGTCTTTAATCCATTTTGAGCTTACTGTTGTATATGGTGTTAGAGAATGTTCTGATTTCATTCTTTTACATGTAGTTGTCCAGTTTTCCCAGCACCACTTACTGAAGAGACTGTCTTTCTCCACTGTATAGTCTTGCCTCCTTTCTTGTAAATTAATTGGCCATAACTGTGTGGGTTTATTTCTGGGCTCTCTATCCTATTCCATTGATCTGTGTGTCTATTTTTGTGCCAATACCATACTGTTTTGATTACTGCAGCTTTGTAGTATAGAACTATCATATGACCCAGCACTTCCACTCCTGCTTATATATTCGAAAGAAACAAAAACACTAATTCAAAAAGATACATGCACCCCAATGTTCATAGCAGCATTATTTACAATTGCCAAGATATAGAAGCAACCTAAGTGTCTACCAACAGATGAATGGATAAAGAAGATGTGGTATATATATATATACAATGGAATATTACTCAGCCATAAAAAGAATGAAATTTTGCCATTTGCAGCAACATGGATGGATGTGGAGAGCATTATGCTAAGTAAGTCAGACAGAGAAAGACAAATACTGTGTATCACTTATATGTGGAATCTAAGAAAATATAACAAACTAGTGAATATAACAAAAAAGAAGCAGATTCATAGATATAGAGAACAAATTAGTGGTTACCAGTTGGTGGGGGCATAATATAGGGGTGGGGAGTAAAGGTACAAACTCTCAGGTATAAGACAGACTCAAGGATGTATTGTAAAACACAGGGATATAGCCAATATTTTATAATAACTCTAAATGGAAAGCAACCTTTAAAAACTGTATAAAAAATTTTTAAATAAATAAAAAAAATTCTTTAAGAAAATTTTTAAAAATGCGGATAACCACAGTACCCAGCTAACTTCACAACAATTTTAAAGAAGCAAAAAATTCTTGAAAAACACTCAGCACAATGCGTGGCATGCAGAAATTAACCCAATAAATGTTTGTTACTGATACTTATTAAGTTAACCCAAAAAGCCACCAGATTTAATCAGAGTAAAACAATAGCATGCTGTGATATTACTATATCTCTGTTATACAGGGGGAATAAGATAAATTTTAGAAATATTTACATAGTATAGATATCTTAGAGAATGAGCTAGGCATTTAACACTAAAATCACCAAGAGAATATTTACATAGTATAGATATCTTAGAGAATGTGCTAGGCATTTAACACTAAAACCACCAAGAGAATATTGACTATATTGGTGGGGAACTATTTTAGTGAAAAAACAATGGAAATCTAGAAACACTTGTTTATTCACTCAATCTTGTTTGCCTAATCTTGTTCTATCCTCTGAACTCAGTGATGGGGATACAATGACTCCTGCCTTCCTGACAAATACAGTGTAGAAAGGGAAATGGACAAAGAGATCCAGAGCACAGGGGAGTCACTGTGTCAGGGAAGGCTTCCCAGAGGGCATGATGTCTTGGCTGAGACTTGAAAGTAAAGAGATCTCTAGGGAAAGAGAGCAGCTTTATATAAAGGCCTAGAGGCAAAAAGAACAAGATACCCTTGAGAAAGTGGAAAATACTTCATACGGTAATATAGGTAACACAGGGAATACACTAAGAGGGAGTGGTCTGAGAAGCTGGAAACCCAGGGCCAAATTCTATGAGGCCTTGTAAGTCATGTTAAGAATTTTAGATTTTACCCTAAATGCAAACAGAAGTCCTTGAAGGTCTAGGGAAAAGACTAATCAGATCTGCATTAGAAAACCCAATCAGAATGAGATGGGGATAGTGTACTGGGGGAGGGGGGTCCAGGATGGTGGTTAGAGGGCTGTAGTGAAGACAGAGACTAGTGGCCTAGTCCCACACAATGGCAGATGCAACAGAGAAATACATGAATTCCTGAGATATGGCTTAGGCAACTGGGAGTTTGGTGATAACATTCACTAGAATCAGAAATCCAAGACCAGGAGGTTTGAGGAGAGAGCAGAAAGTTGATGAATTTCGTTGGGGACATATTGAGTCTGATCTGCTGCTGGTGAGACCTCCGGTAGGCAGATGCACTGACTCTGGAACCTGGGGTAAGGTCAGGGCTGGAGAGTTCCAGCCCATCAGGCCCTGAGTGG